CTTGATAAAGAAAATTTCCGCTTCAATACTTTTATCCCCAACTTTAAAATCTGCTTCACGGCGTTTTCTATCATATAATATAATCTTCTGCCTATTTCTTGCCGTATCCGAGGTTTTAAGCGCCCTGATCAATTAGCTTTTGCACATCTTTTTGTTTAAACTCCTGCTCTCTTTTGTTGCACAAAGAATAATTTATCTAAAGGCGTAATTAATTTTCGGCCTAAAAAATAATTCTGCTGGAGTTTTTTTTTTTTTCCCGTAGTATCATGATGTGCCGTTCTTAAAGCATAAGCTAATTCTTTATGTAGCCATCCCAGCGCTTGTGATGTGTGCTCACGTAACTGCGAATTATTTTTACTATATTTTTATTAACTCTTTCTGCTATGTTAGCCTTGGTCTATACGGAAACCATTTTGATATGGCGTATGCCAAGTCCATTGCATATGTTTTCAAATATTTGACTAATGAATTGTTTTCCGTTATCGCTAATGACTTTTATCGGTGCACCGTATTTTAAAATGTATCTGTGTAAGAATGCATCTGCGACTGTTTTGGCTGACGCGCGTTTAAGAGGAACAATTTCTATCCATTTTGAAAAATGATCTACTATTACTAAAAGAAAACGATTTTTATTTAACTCGCTATGGGGGAAGGGACCAAGAAGATCTATGCCTAAAATTTCATTCGGAAATGTAGCGCGAATGCTATTTAAGTACCCGGCCGGGCTGTAATTAATATCATTTATTAACTGACATTGATTGCAGGACCTGACATACGCCGTTACTATTTTGTATAATTGCGGGAAATATACCGCCTCGCGTACCCTTTTTATAGTCTTTCTGACCCCGAGGTGGCCGGCTGTTTTTGCTTCGTGCAACTCCTTCAGAATGCTTAATCGAAGCGAGGCTGGGATGACTAATTTATACTCAAGATTTTCGTTTGTTGTTTTCGTATAGAATAATAAATTATCTATTATTTCATAGTTTTTTGCTCTATTTCTTATCGCATCGATATCTGTGTGCTCAAAGCTTTCGGGGTGTTTCAAATAAGCATAGATATTTCCAAATTCAGGATCAGCTTTCAGTTCAGTAATAACCGTATCTCTAGAATCTAAAATTTTTGAAGTCAACACAGCGCATTTAAGTTCATTTCCTTGATCGTCCAGTTTTTATACGAGAAAGTGCGTCAGCTACATTGTTTTTCTTACCCGGTTTTATTTTTTATTGTGATATTATATTCTTGGAGTTTTAAAGCCCATCTTATTAACATGGGCGTTAGGTTTTTTTCCCCGAGTAAAGTCTACCAACAGCCGCATGATCCGAAAAGACTGTTACTGGCGATTTGCCGAAATAAACTCGAAATTGTGTACAGCCATTAATACGGCTAATGTTTCTCTTTCTGTAGCTGTATAATTCCCTTTGAGTCTGATTCAACGTTTTACTAAAAATGCCAGCGGGTGGTTATTTTGCATAAGAACCGCACCCACCTCATAGTCTTGACGCATCTGCTGCAATTTCCAGGTTTTTCGTCCCCCTCCGGGAATTTTAAAACAGGGGCATTAATAAGCGCTTCTTTTAATCTTTCAAAAGCTGTGTTAGCTTTCGCTGTCCACGTAAATTTAGCCCTTTTTTTTTCTTTTGATTACTAACAGTGGTTCAACAATATTAGCGAAATCTTTTATGAAAGATCGATAGTAAGAACATAACCCAAGGAAGGAAGAAAGTTTCTTGGCGGTGTTGGGCGGTGGGAAATTCTTAATAGCTTTTATTTTTGAATCTTGCGTTTCTATACCCTTTTGCGAAATTTTATAACCGAGATATTTAAGTTCTTTAGTTGCGAACTTGCATTTTGAGGCGTTAATTGTAAGACCGGCCTCTTTTAATAATTTATAAACCTCTTCCAAGTCTTTAATGTGTTGTTCCAACGTACTACTCGTTATAATTATATCATCTAGATAGATTAAAGTTGATTTTCCTAGGACAGGCTTTAGAACAATGTCCATAGCTCTCTGGAATATTGATGGGGCCCCACACAACCCAAAAGGCATGCGTAAAAATGCATAAGTGCCCGATTTTGTTATAAACGCGGTTTTATGTATATCTTCGGGTCTCATAGCTATTTGATAGTAGCCAGACATTAAGTCCAAAGTAGACATATCTTTGTCGATTTGATCTGTCCTAATGATCTCGTCTATCACCGGCAAAGGGTAAACTGGAATTTTGGTAATACTATTTAGTTTTCTGTAAATCGATAGCAAACCCTCCAAGCCCTTTTATCCGAAGGAGGGAAACTCGTTCTTTTTCCTACATAGTACGACTGGACTCGCGTATTCACTATTTATGGGCGTTATTATTTTATTCTTTAACATCTCCTGAATATGTTCTTCGATGATTAAGTCTTTTTGTGTTGTCATAGCGGTAAAGTTTAGTCCTACAAGGTTTTTTTCGGCATTTAATTGAATCTTGTGCGTCACTATTTGGCAGTTTCCTGGTTTTTCTGAAATAAATGAGAAAAATTACTCACCACTTGCTGTATTGCTTTCCTTTCATGGTCATTCAGATGGCTAAGGTCCACTTGAGGTGTCTCCACAGGTTTCCACCACCCTCTGGTCCATCTCCAACACCACGGAACTATCTTGAAAATTTAATTTGGCCCTCGCGGCCCTTTAAAAAGTCCATACCTAAAATAAGAGAATGCTGCAGATCTTTCCACCACAAAAAATTAATACTTTGAGACTTTTCCTCTTTACCTGTAAGTTTAATGATAACTTTCCCGATGCAGTGACATGTTTTTCCTTGCGCCGCTATTAATTTCCGTATTTTGGTTTTAAATAGTCGTACCCTATAAAAATTCTTTTTGAACAAATTTTTCACTCATAAAATTTTCTTCTGCTCCTGTATCGATGAGGGCTTCTACTGGTACATCGCCAACCAGGACTTGTATAATTGGTAGCTGTGAGTTTTTTTTACGATGACCGTATTAAATGTCTATTTGAGGGTTTTTTTTTTTAAACTTCCGGGGTCTGGACCTTCCCTTTTCACAGGCCCCTCTAGTCGTTTTAAAGCTTTCCTTTCAATCTGTGTCTTCTGGGTACGCGGATGCTTATTTTCAAATTTTTTTTTGGACCTTGACCTTTCGAGTTTCGATGCGTTAGCTTGATAGCTTCTTTCCCCCATAAGAGCGATTTTCCATTTTCTGGTTTTCCTCCTTTGAAGATTTCCTTCGGGTACTTTTTGAGAATATGTTTCCCCTCTGGCTTTTTCCGCTATTCTGCGATTTTGAGACTTCGTCGCCAATTCGAAGAGTTCCTGCAATGTTCTTCGGTTTCTAATTTCAAAGTAGTCTTGAACAGCGGGTAACAATCTTGGTAATATTATTTCAATAATCTCCGCATCGGGTTTCCTTTCCATATACAGCATATCCGTTAGCTTGATTTTTCGCAGAATAAAGTCCGTCAATTCTGCTGTATCCCGTTGATAGAAACTATATAGTTCGGCTTCCAGCCGTGCGCGATCTTTCACTATGGGGAAGGCCTTTACTAACGATTTTTTTTTTGAAATTTTCAAATATATATGTCTAGCTGCCCAAATTCCCCTAATAAAAATTTGCCTATGTTTTTCCACCATAGCGTGGCCTGTCCTCTTAGTGCTGATGTGGCGATGGCAACCTTTTGTCTTTCGGGAACAGGGGTAGAGCTGAAAGTGGTTTTTCTATACCTTCTAGAAATACCGACACACCCGAATTTTTTTTTTTTTTTTTTTTCCGTCGAAATGGACGTTTTGGCTTGATTGACGCTCTCAAAGTCTGGACCAGGTATCCAAATCCTTCTAGCTGGCTTGTCATTTCTTGGTGTTGTCCAACGGTTTCCATCCAATTTTCGGCCATTTCAGTTCGATAATTGTTCGGGCGCCAATGTAACGTTGCGTGCCTCCCACTTGCACGCAACCAAGAGGTGACTGTGAAAACAGGATAAAACACAGAGTCTTGTAAAGGGTTTAAGTCCCTTCTTATTCAACGTAATAAATTACAATTGCGTGCTCTTGACGCTTACAGACGGCGCCAACTCGGCGGTCAAATAAAAATAATAACCTGAAAAGAAACTAAAGACAAGACTCTAACTACGAGGCTCTCTAAAATATCTAACTCACCGCGTTTTACAATACCGCTGCTAATTCAGCAGACTTGAAGCTCACTTGGACGATTAACACTACTTCCCGCCAAGCACATAGGCCGAAACGCGGGGTTCTTCAATTTCTTGCTAACTACCTCCGCGCTCGTGAAGTAAGAATATCACCCTCCAAACTCGTTTCCTTCCCATTTACTTATTGTGCAAAAGTGATTTTTTTTTCTTTTTTTTTAGTTTTTTAGTATTTTTCTAATGAAAAATATTACTAAGCTCCTTAGTTTCTTCCGCAAGATTTCGCTTTTACTTTCACTGTTTATTTTTCGTTATAGAGTTTTCCGAATTTTACAGAATACATGAAATTATTTTCATAAATCATTTATAAAATATGCCATGAAAACGTAAAATTATTTATTTATTTAATACATTAATTTTAATTTTCAAATAAATTATGTGTTTTTTTTTTTTCTAATTGAAATGCTAAGACATTCCTTAATATTAGAATTCAAAATATTATTTTATATATTAATTATACAATTTAATGATAAAATAATATGACAATCAAAAGCATATGTCCGCATCTTTTTAATAATACGAACAAATTCATATTCTTCATTTTTATTCAGAATTATTTTTAGAAGTCTTTTTAGTTTATAATAAATAATAATGCCAAAATTTGAGTTTTGTATTTTTTGCAAGATATGAAAATGCTTAAAAGAAAGCTATGGCTGGTTTATACATTCGTCTATTGTAGAACAGATAGATAAATGTGAGAAGTACAACCGTTTTATGCTGTAAACCCTTACTGCTACATTGTATGGTAGTTAATGAGTACATAGTTTCTTGCTATAGTAATTGAGTATACAGAAATGATTACCGTAAAGATATTTTTCGAAGGACCTGAACGTGAGAGGGCCTTGATAATCGGACAACGGAGGAGAGAGAACATAATTTCGAAATCTTTCCACCATTTTTGTGACCATTTCTTTTTCCTCGTGTGGCGTTGTCGTAATCTGTTTCCTCTTCAGTTCTTGCAGCTCGTAGAACAAACGACGCTCCATTTGATACCTAAAACATTACATTATCAGTTATTGATAAACACTTAAATGAAACGTTCACGTTTGCAAAATGGGCAACCTCTTGAGAGATTGGTGAGTGAACATTTAAAACTGAAGCGTTTTTTTATGCACCGGCAATCGAACTGAAATTTCAGACTTCATATGCAAACTTCTTACTTACAGAACTGCTGAAGAAGGAGACAAATAACCATGATTCGAATTTAATAAGCATTTAGACTAGTTAGAAAGTTTTAGTAACATGATAAACTTTAGTAACAATATACTAATATATTTGAATTTATTGATTCATATATAAATTTTTATATGAGCTTTTTGGGAAACTGTTTCAGATAGAGACATATATTGTCATACGTTTAAAATTTCTGAAATATCATTTACATAGATTAGAGGGAGTTGTTTGCCAGAAACTATGTTGGACAGCTTGAATTATTAACACTCTGGGATTCTTAAGAGGTCGCTACAGTAATAATGAAATGATTGATATGTGTTTCATTTATGAGGTAACAAACGGAAAAGGGACATCGCGATGAGATTATATCGCTAATGGTTCCAAAAAAATGTGAGTTACATTATACAATTTTTGAGCGCTTGCACCACAAATTATGTGAAACTGGATTTTTTAGCTTAAACAACCATTGTAACTGGGATCGAGTATGCACATACTTAATGTGAAAGAAGCAGTATTACTTAACTGAATTCAATTAATACACAAATATACGGGCTATTTCTCATTATAATTGTGGACTTCAAATCAATATGCGGCGAGAATTACAAGAGAAAAGCTTACATCCTTATCAAATGCAATGGGTCTAATCACTGAAGGTAGGATATTGAGTGTGGATTTTGCACGCTACGTCTTTTGCAAAAATACGTTTTACAGCCGGATCTTCTCGTCTGATTATTTTTTATTAACCAAGGTAACTTTACGAGTGAAGATATTGTTCATGCTTGTAATGTGCATATGTGAGCGAACTAAAACCCACCAGTTTCCAGCTCCGGTGCTGTGAAACAATGACTCATCATAAATGACTGGTTAAGTAAATAGTTGCAGCCTGTTTGTTTGAGCCTTATCTTCTTTAATCACGACTAAATAACTGTTGCTGTGGGATATTTTTATAGGAGGTCCTGCTGGAACTAGTACCTGATATACTTGCATTTCTGCGGCCGTACATTTCATTTTGGCTGTGAGGGAATCTCTTAAAAACACCTTTCCTGAGAGAGTGCGGGGCTCATCCAAGGTGTCGATCATTGATTTCTTATTTTGGGCGTTACCTCAAATCCTTGTGTAAGAGAGCCCTGTAATCTCTATCACTGATATCATCGCAGAAGTTGTCGATATAAATGCTATAGTGTCTATCCAGAAGAAAACTAATGTTTTTTAACGCCTTCGCCAGTCTGTGCGTCGAACTTTAGAAACTTTACGAAGCGCACGTTGCCTCGGATAAAAGGAATTTTGAGCATTTCATCTAGCATCATTTCATCTAAATATATAAAGTTCATTTTATCGAACGCATTACTTTTATGTTAGTTTCTTTGTTTTTTATATAGTATATAGTATATATAGTATATATATATATATATATATATATATATATATTGCATTTTTTGTATGTTTTATTTCTTGCATTCTTATCATCGTCATAATGCAAATTAGACTGATTTTAAATAGTGACATCACAAAAAGAAAGCAATAGAAACCCACCAGGTGATCTGTTTTGGGAGAGGTGAATGACCTTTGTTATTTGTTAATGCGCAAGGCTAGAAAGCTGAGCCGAATTAGTTATTGAAAATTAGTTGTACAAATTTAAATAACTGAATTTCTGTAGTTCTGCAAGTAGTGGCGGCTAATATTTATGTTAACAAAAATCACATAGTTGTTGGCAGTTATTTTCCTGTACTTTTTTCGTTTGCCCATGAATCATATGTGCTTTCAATACATTATTTATTTATTATAGTTCTTATAAATATTGTATAAATAAAGATTCTAAAATAATGTCAGATGCATTTTCAATTAGATAAAATCACTAACTCATCACTCATTACCATCATCAACTCATTACGCATCGCTCATCAATGTTATTTATGTAATTGCTAAATTATTAGTATTTTAGTTTAGTTATACAGTTTTTACTAATAAATACATTTACTCATTCATTTTTATAAAAGTTATAAAATTTGAATTCTGGAAAAAATTTACATTAAGGTCATAAGATAAATTGCTTACTTTTTTAAACTCTTTTGAACTTCTTTTGTAATGGTAGGCCTGTTTAGCAATCTTGGGCAAGTTTCAAATTTGTTATCTTTCTTACGAAGATGAGGTAAACTCGAAGAACGAGGTTTGATGATTGTTTTATGGGCTTCATCTTCTTCATCTTCCAAACGAAACGTTTCTGCTGCTCCGCTACTAACCACATATCGAGCAATATGTCGTCTTTTTCTTTTCCCAGTTCTGGTTTCTGAGTCCGAATGTCCTCCTCTATCGTCATCAGAGGAAGACATTTCTTCGCGATGTCCACGATCCACATCATCACTGAAACCAGAATCTTTGATTGTTGATTCAAAACTTCGAATGCTAGACATAGGTGAATGATTCTCCGTATCATAGTCTTTAGCTCGCAAAGATCTTCTGTTTTGCTCTACAGAGAGCTGCTTTAATCTCTCTTCTGCAACATGGCAATCACAATCACAAGTCTCTGTTCCTACTTCATGTTTTGAATAGCAGCTGCATTGATGCATTTTAGTGTAACCATTTTGTTCCGATGTTTCTGGTCTGAATTCTTTTTCTTCGGAACTCAATTGTGGAACTTCTTCTTTAGCTGTTTCCTCAAGCTTTTCGTACAGCGTTGGTTGAGAGGCTTTACGACTCGAAACATCTTTTTCAAGATCTGTTTCGCGTGGAGTTTCTGTATCATTTTTATCATTGGAAGACCCATTTTCCATGTTTTGGGCATTAGAGTTTAGTCTTTGTTGCTGACGGGTGCACAACTAAAAAGATAAATAAGAGTTAATATTATTAAAAAAAGACAATTTTACATAATTCGTATTAGTAATTTTATTGAAGAGCGGAAATTTTAAAGTTTTGATTTCTAAAAATTTGTTTATTAAAAAGTATTAATGCTTATAATTAAGAGCATAGTTATTGGAAGAATGAATCTGACCTTCTCTCCTTGATAATCTCGCCTGTATGCAGTAGGTTTTCTAGTCAACCTTCTAATCTTTGAACGCTTGGTGTGAACATAAACTTTGGCAATGATAGGTTTCCCTGATCCATCCTCTCCTGCACAGCGAATACTTGTTGATGCACAAGATGACTTGGAATTTATGGGCGTCTGGCCACGAGTCAAGTCTGCTACTGCTCCCACGTTTCTTTGCTCTACTACAGCCTGAATATCTACGTCTCGCAACTGAGGTTCCGTTTGTGCAGAAGTATCTCGTAGCAACCTTTGTCTCGTGTTTGGGCTAAGTTCCAGAGTTTCAGAAAGATGAGTTTCTGTAAATCTTAATAATGAAACCGAGAATATTATTATATATAGAATAGAAGTGAGTTACTATAAAATGATTTAAGATGTAAAAAGGCTATTCCAGTTGGTAAGTGCATACATTAGGTATATCAGTATCGGATACTCTTTTTGAAGTTCCAGTAAAAATAGTTAGTCAGATTTAATTTTAAAATTAATTTTTTTATTTATAAATATATAACATAAATGCAACTATTTATTAATTTGTGCCAATTTTTTTGTCCACATTCAGGTATTTTCCCACAGCAATAAAGAATTTACAGATTTTTGTCATGTAATTGTTAACTGCACGATAATTGGCTTGCAGTGAAGTTTTATAAAACCTTTTAAACATACTTAATTGCATTTTTTGTTTAAATTAATATTTTCATATTCATAGTTTTCCCCCTCTAAAATAATAAATTAAAAAGAAAGAAGTTTGTTACTACCTGTTGTATTCTCTTTTCTCCAGCAGCTTGCTAGCAGGCAAAGCTCCATGTAAATTAAGGTACTTCGCACAACCTCTGTTGCCTCGATGTAGTGCAGCATCAAGGGGTGTCATTTGTTGCCCCTGGAAGTCAACAAAATTCAGGTTATCAGTACTAAATTGAATGGAAATTATAAAACTAAAATGTTATATTGAATTCTGTATTTGAAATTATTCTTTTCAATTACAACAAAAAGTGTATAAAATCAGCATTTGAACATTCAGGATTATAGGAGCTTATAAAGCGAGCCCTAGAAGAAATCAGTTAATAAATTCGCTGTGAGTTAAAAACAACATTCATAGAAAAACATTCATTTACAGTTTATATCTAAATTATGCATCACATCAAACGTTGCCTAGAGATCTTGAATGTAGTCCCCAGGTAATGAAGACGCATCCAGAAAACGACCAAACAAGAGATCTCAAGACAGACGAAGGTTACGACCGAAGAGCATCTCGGTGGGGAATAGACGACACTTCCGTGGACAGCACCTCCGATAGGCCAGTAAGAGAAGTAGCTTCTGTTACCATCCTGTTGATTTCTGGAGCGAGGGGTTATTACGGATGGTTCAATTAAACCTCTGTACCATGTAGTCTGACTGGGTATGTAAAGGTGTCATTTGGGTTTTATCGATGCCAAGTAGCTTGCAGAGTTCTTCTTTCATTACAACCGAGATAAAATTCCTTCATTTACCGGATTCTAACTGAAGAGGCATTCCAAATCTGGAAATACAATGCTGTATACTTTATCCATGCTACTGTGGCAGCCTTTTGATCAGGGATAAGATATGCTTGTGGACACTTTGTGAAATAATCAGTGACGTCGAAGATTAATCAATGCATTTGTTTCCATTAACAGTTCGTGCCAGAAGACGACGTTTCGAATATGGACCGAGTCCCAAGGAGCCCAATATTGATTGTTTTGTCTTAGGACTAGACTTCGAAATGTCCTGCTAAGTAGGTTTCTTGTTGATATCGCCGTCTTCCAACTGTTCTTTCCTGACTTCTTCGTCACTACATGGGTCTGGATCGGACATTGTTGAATTCGTATCTTGACGTACGGCCGGATTAAGCAAGTAGTTCGTGTTTCGCTTTGACCTTGGAACAATATCGGGAGCTTTTTGTGCAGGATAATCTAGACAGGACGTCGGCGTTTCCATGTGATGATCCCTTCAGACGATGGATCGTAATGTCATATTCCTTGAGTCTTATTTTCCATTTGGCAATTTGGCCTGCGGGATTCTTGAAATTTAAAAGCCAGGTCAACGATGTATGATCAGTGCGGAGCAGGCATTTCTGCCTCTCCACTATTGGTGGACTAAATTTTTAAGACGAGCATTGTAACATATGAATGTTACAAATAAGCTTTCATTTAATATTTGATATAAAAATGCATTAAAAGAAAGAGAGACAATTTTTGTCACCTATATAAAATTAAAATATTAGGAATCTCAGGTGAATCACCCAAAATGTTTTTGTTAAATATTAGCATAAAGTGAATAATTTAGATATTAGGAATCTCAGATGAATCACCCAAAATGTTTTTGTTAAATATTAGCATGAAGTGAATACAGAAGAGTTAAAAGAAAAGAGTTTTAGAAAAACTCCTAGATAAATGAATAAATGAATGAATGTTCATACTGAAACAATCTCAGTAAGTACTTCTCTTCTCAACTAAAATTATATTAGCTTTTCATTAATATTGAATATTAACGTAAGATTTTTAAGGTATTATTATATTATTCGTTAAACATCCACAAGACGAAAATCTTACTTTTAATTAACTTCAAGCTGGAATAGAATTACGTTACAAAGGTATAGAAATATACTAATGCTTTTTTACTAAGATTAAGGGGAAATTTAATAAGCGTTGGTGTTACCATAAAATATTTTCTGCATTCGCAAGAACATCATACAAAACTTGAATTTAAAACTATGGTTTAACACACTACTTCAAAATGCCGTTTATATAATTTTGAAACATTTTTAGAACTGCAAATTACGATGAAAAGAATAACATTAAAATCATTGTATAGCATAAAATCTTTCAAACTGATAACTTTCGGTGCAGTTCAAAAAACGTGTGGGGTTTTCAAAGAAATTCAGTAGAATTTGATTAGTTAATTACGGGGTCCATGGTAACAGCAACTGAGGTGTGGAAACATTGGCAACAGTTTCGTCGCAATATATTATATACTACTCTCCTTTTCTAATATCTCATCTACTGCACTGATTAGAAAGAAATAATCACTGATTTTTCCGTATTGTCGAAGCAATTTAAAAAACTGTTTTCTCCTCGGATAGGTTCAATGAAAAATAATCAATGACCTGCAATGATAATCCTAGATTTTTCTGTACACAAGGAAGTTAGAACGGACGTTCAAATCCAAATAGCTTCCGTTCGAGAGTTACATGACCCAATGTATTCAATTCCTTTTGAAGAAATTGCAATAATGAAGATAAACTGTCCCATGGATGAGTCTGGTTTAAAATGCCGTTTTGGAAAAATCTGCTGTCTGCAGTAAAAAAGTGTTCGATAAAGATGCCATAATCGCATTACTGGAACCCTCTTCCTTTCAAGGACTTTATCAATATAAGACTAAAATAATCCATAGCAAGAGATCTTCCTTTTTTTTAAGCATGCTTAAAAAAGGAAGAATGCTAATAGGCATGCTTAAAAAAGGAAGGTTTTTAAGAATGTTTCAAGGCTCTTTCAATGCAAAGAAGGACATTTTTGTTCAAAAGAATAACTGATTTGGCAGAGGTTACCATAGCCTTTCCGCTTAATTATACGTTGCTTCTTGTCAAACGTATAACAATACCATTTTATGTCTTTACCCAGATTTAAAAAGAAAAAAGAGGATGCGTGTTGATCTGCTTTGGATACATTTGCTACCAATGGCTCCATCAATACGGGCGCGGCATCCTCCGTATACAATTTTGATTTATTTTAATACTATCATTTTCCGAACATGACTTTTACATCAACTCACCCTAGATGCAATATGCGTAATATCCGCGACAATAGGCCTGTCAAGTAGAACCATATCTATAAAGTGTATAAAAAATTAAAATTTCTTATTTATTTATAGTAATATATAGGTAGTTGTGGAATATTTTGTTTGAGAACAATACCAAAAACATTGTCTATCTTGGCAATTGTTCACAACCAGTATTTGTTTGTATAAATGTAAACATACAGTATTTTTGTCACAAGTGACAACAGAAATTAAATTATAATCATAAGAAATATCTTATATCCATTTTAATATTGCTTTATTTGGACATATTTCCGTATACAGGCCGAGAGGTTTCAGTAAATGTTTTGCTACTGAAGTTCGGGATCAGCTTATAAACAAGCTGCAAATAATTCGATAACAAAAATTAATAATTAAAAAATATGAATATTTGAAAATCAATCAAAAATACTATTCTTATTTCATTTACACCATATCCATATGTGATACACACCATATCCATATGTGATATTTATTTTCACAACCACTGATCGTAGATATGTACTATTACAAATATTTCAGGTTAAATATTCATGTTTTGACATTTTTATAATTTAAAAATTAACTTTTGTAAAATTTATAAAATTTAACTTTTAATACTCCTCCATTCTTTGTAGTTATATTATATTCTTATTATAATTTAACTTCAAGCTGGATGGGGGCAGATCAAAGAAATACCAAAAATTAGTTTATTAGCTAACTAAAAGTAGTAATACGTTTTTCATATCAAATTTTATTTAATGTAGTGCCTCGTAGTTGATTGTACAGTATTTTAGCCGAAAATCATTGTTGTTCTTCCTTTTCAGGCAGTTTCCCAGCTTGAACAAAATTAGCATGTAGCGAACTTAATTACGTGCATCAACTTGTATTAAAAAATTACGAGAAATTCAGTAATGGAAGATGCTTATAATTTAAGTTTTACTAACAACTAGCTTTATATTGATTGTTTTCTTACGTTCCTTGTCCCATACTGATGCTTGCACAGACCAAAGGCATATTGTTTAAAATTAGGATGTAGTTTAAATCATAAGCTCATTAGAACTTAGTCTGAAATTCTGACATCTTGCTGCAGAACCTCTTCACAGAGTAAGGAACTAGAGCTACAGAGCGTTTCGCGGAGCTCCGATAAGTTTTAGAGAATTAGCTAGTTTTCCACCCTATGTTTGCTACATATTTTCGTTACTGTTGTTGTAGTCATTACATGCAAACATAAGCATACCAGCAAGCAGTTGTAAGTTGATGAGAAGTCCTAACACTCCTGCTTTAGTTTTATGATTCTGCAATGAATGTCTAACAAAGTTTATGTCAAATTTTAACTTAGTGTCAAATTTTAACTTAGATTGTCAAATTTTAACTTAGAGTCCTAGCTTGTGTGCTGATACTACCGCAATATAAAGCCATAACTCCATAATATAAAGCCATCTCTGTATGTATCACCATCTCTGTATCTTTAGGATCAATTCTTAGGTTTGTTGGGCGAAAATAATTTAGTATTTAAACATGATAAACAGTTAATGACCACTTAAATATATCATTATCGGATATTTATATGTTATTTAAACACGGTTTTTTTCTTTTTCTTTACACTAATCATGAAGTACTTTTTTAAATTTCATATAACGTATTAAAGAATGTAAAAATAGAAAAAAAATTACTTTGAAAATCTAACAGAAAAATTGCTTCATGTAATTTTTTATATGATTAAACATGTATTAATCTAAAATAGTGGTCTTCAAACTTTGTCCGCTCATGGATGCCTTAGAATTACACGGTTTTTTTTGGGGGGGGCGGGGGATCTTATCCCACCCTTAGAAACAGTAGGTTTAGCTACTTTATGCAAAGAAAGTTTTAAAAAGTTACTGTATTTTTTATTGAAGAATTTAATATAAAATTAAAATAATTTACTCACTAATAGTATTAATTCATGCTTTAGGTGTCACCTATCCTTGCATTATATTTAGTACCAGGGGTGTGATTGCATTGATTTAACACAGGCTGTCCAAGTCTAGCTCTACTGAAGTTAACTGCAGTCGCATTTTATATTCTGCATTTAAATTTTTTCTATATTTTATTTCTGCAGCCACATACAGATTTTTCACTTAAATGCGTTGTTCCAAACGGCATTAGACCCACTAGCACCCGAGCGATAAAGTCACTGAACACTGGTAGTTCAGTCTCCGAGATTTGAATCCCACAAAGGGACTGGCTATAGTTGCGTTTTCGTGTTTTTCCCATGTGTAACGTGTATACCAGCCAGTATCCCTTAGAAAGTCCTACACGAAGGCATCCCTCCCCTTACGTAGATAGCCTTCGAGTGCTTTCCCATAATCAAATAAACCAAACCAAATGGCATTAAAATATTCATAGCTGTGTGAGAAACGTCTAGGTATTATGCATTAATCTAACAACCAGAACGTTTGGAGGCTACTCTTTCTTAAATTTGCATTTTAATGTCCAGTCTGTTGATACGTTCATAAATTATTTCTTTTTCTTCATCGGCAAGCTTTCTGGTTTAGGGTAGTACTCGAACTGAATTTTTATCCTGTCATCCTTAGATTTTCTTCTGAGAAATATTCTCTTACAGTCATCTTAAATTGAAGAATGTGTTCCATTTAAAAGTTTTAAAACTGCCGTTTAAATTCAATTCATTTACCATTAGAAAACTATTTAGTTTTGTATAGCATTCCACATTGTTCTCTTTGACATATGATGACCACATGTTAAGTTTTAAAAGTAATCTATAACTAAATATATATTTTTAGTTAATAAACACTAATCAACTAGTGTTGTAAGGATCTTAAGTTTTACTAACGTTTATTTTATTTTAAATCTTTACTATCACTTCTTATTTTCTACTTCCGGCCAGAATTAAAAGCTTTAATTTATTTGTGCAAATTTGTCTTGCGAACGCCAAGTACTTAAGTTGTGGCTTTTTGCCAAGCAAGAGAGAGAGAGAGGAAGGAGTTAGCAGAAGCAGGCCGCTTGCCTTAGCAGTTTTACTCGATTGCTGGTTGCCTTCTAGGCCAGAGGTTTAATCCTCTTGATAATTTTAAACGTATCGTAGTGTTAACAGTTCTCCGTACTACATACGGCCTTTCTGTTAATATACGGCCAATCTTCGAGTAGACACTTGTTTATTAATCCAAAGTTAGTTTAGTTAGAATTTAGTTCATATTTTTATATTCTTACGTTCAGACCACAAGTGGTTGGTCTCTGTATTCCGAAGTCCAGAAATCATTGTAAAAGAGAGAAAAATAAAGGGTTTCGTATATCCCTTCCTGTGTATCTTGTCTACTTCCCACATTTATTGAACATAGCTTTAGTAAGCTCCCTGTTCCGAGTCAGGTCATTTAAATGTTCCCCAGGCCCACCAGCGGAGGAGCGGTAAAGTCGCTGAACACTGGTAGTTCGGTCGGAGGTTCGAATCCCGCGAACGGGCTGGCTGCATGGGCGTTTTCGTGGTTTTCCTCATGTGTAACGTGTATACTAGCCAGTTTCCCTTAGAAAGTCCTCCACGAAGGCATCCCTCCCCTTAGGCAGATAGCCCTCGTGTGCTTTGCCATAATTAAATACACAAATACACACATAAATGTTCCCCAAGCAAGTAAGGAGGAACACAGAACCTGATAGTGGCGCCCGACGAAGAAGACTAACCATGGCCGAGTTTCAAGAAGAACCTGTGCTGCCTGCAGAAGCGGCTCAGAATCCAGAAATGCCAGCTGCCGCCCTGGAAGGATTTGGTTACATCGTCCAGACCATGCGCGCATCAATGAAACCAGAAGCAACATTTAATGGAAACTCACCGGTAACCAGTTTTTGGAAAAATTGGAGGACCACTTCATGATGTATCCTGTGTATGAGTTCCAGAAAGTCACCTTAGCTACCAGCGCTTTGAGGGGCCAAACGCTTAATTGGTTCAAATGTATAGGCAGAAGTCTCTTGGGTCAAGCGGGAAGTCCCACCTATACTTACGAAAATTTCAAGACTGCCCTAGTAAAAGGCTTCCCTGTCGTAAGGGATCGTGCAAAATTAGAAACGGAACTTTTCAGCATATACCAGAAACGAATTGAAAATCTCTCAAGCTTTATTTTAAGAAAAATTCACGTCTTCAAACTTTTGAAGCATTTGTATGGAAACCGTCCGGATCCTGAGATAATACGTCAAGTGATTTTGCCGAGGTTACTTCCCCAAGTACAAGACTTTATTGAATTAAGGAATCCGACTACACTTTGGAAAAGTTATTTGAGCTCGCAGCAATCCATGACTGAACATTGATGTCAAAGTGAACGGGTGAAGAACGGCGGACATTGAAAGAAGACGCCAATACGAGCAACGAAACCAATTTGGTGCGCCAAGACCACAGCAAAGTCAAGCACACGGATACGGAAGCAAAGCGAATCAGTAAGCACGGAAACCCGAGCATCCAAAAACAGCCGGCGAACGTCGACAGTTCAATAGAAATCCAGGAAAAAAGTCTGAAGGCCAGTGGAAAAAGAAGGAAAGCATGGAAAGGAAAAAACAAGATTTAAACTAAAACGGATTTCTGCTGACGGGAGGGTGCGGAAATCCGAAGGCCAAGAAAACCCCTCTTCCTTCAAGTTAAATACAGTAATGATAAAAAAAAATTTATTCGTGTGACTGTAAAAAGAGAAAATTATTGTGAATATGTGTTAAAGGTTGAATGAATGTAGTTAGGCTCTCTGACGCTACACTTCAGAGTTAGCCACTTTCAGAATAGTAGCTCAGGGTTTAGAGATGAATATAAGGTGTGTTATGAGGTCTTGTTATGTTGAATTTTAACACGTTAGTGTTTTGATTGCAGGCGGTAGTGTTGAACACTTGTACATAAACACATTCGTGTTTGGTGTTTTCTTTTACAACACATGTCAGAGAGCACGGGGAGAGATAATTAAATAAAGTCATGAATGAAATAAGAATGTTAGGAGAAATATAAATATTCATGTTACTTGCCATTTAATTGTGTAACATTTCATTAAACTAGTTTTCCTTCCAGATCTCTGGAAGGAACCAGATTTCAACTAGAAACTCCTGTTTAGATGCAGTACAGATGAAAAGTAATTGTCCATGGAATTCATGATGTAAAAACGAATTTTTTTTTAATTTCTAGTTTCTAGTGAGAAATGTTTGTAAAAAATTGGCCTCGCGTTAGATTCTAGAGCTAAAAGCTTTCAACAAGGTCGTTTTAGACCTCAGTTTCAAACTAATTGACCTCAGTTTCAAACTAATTAACTCTGGCGGGAAGTATGTAAGGATCTTAAGTTTTACTAACGTTTATTTTATTTTAAATCTTTACTATCACTTCTTATTTTCTACTTCCGGACAGAATTAAAAGCTTTAACTTATTTATGCAAATTTGTCTTGCGAACGCCAAGTACTTAAGTTGTGGCTTTTTGCCAAGCAAGAGAAAGGAAGGAGTTAGTAGAAGCAGGCCGCTTGCCTTAGCAGGTTTACTCGATTGCTGGTTGCCTTCTAGGCCAGCAATTGATAATTTTAAACGTATTGTAGTGTTAACAGTTCTCTGTACTACATACGGCCTTTCTGTTAATATACGGCCAATCTTCGAGTAGACACTTGTTTATTAATCCAAAGTTAGTTTAGTTAGAATTTAGTTAATATTTTTATATTCTTACGGTCAGACCACAAGTGGTTGGTCTCTGTATTCCGAAGTCCGGAAATCATTGTAAAGAGAGAAAAATAAAGGGTTTCGTATACCCTTCCTGTGTATCTTGTCCACTTCCCACATTTATTGAACATGGCTTTAGTAAGCTCCCTGTTCCGACTCAGGTCATTTAAATGTTCCCCAAGCAAGTAAGGAGGAACACAGAACCTGATAGTGTGAGTGCTTTAAAATTTTCTTTTCGAATTTTTATTTTGACTCGCGGAACCTAGTTTGAAGACCGCTCATGTAAAACAATATATTTCGGAGTAAGATTTATGACTGTGCACATAAGCGTGTTGAATGGTATTAATGCTTCCGTTGGCTGAGTACTTTAATAACTCAAATTGTTCTTTGATATCTGTTTACTACTGATCCTTTTTCTGGAGAAATGTGGCATTTAATTTGTTGTCTTATTTATGTATTACGATTAAAACTGTGTCTAAGTATTCTGATTTGTCAAATGCTTTACGGTTTTAGAAAAAAAATGTTTTTTTGTCTAAAACTTCATCTAGTGTCTTACCTTTGAATTTCTCATAATTGGATTGATAAAAGCTCCATAATCCATTAGCACCTTGCACATATCAACATTATTTGTGATGGCTGCTATATGTAAAGGCGTTCTTCCATTAGCATTGGACACATTGACAGAGCCTTTGTGTTGCTGGAGCAACCATTCAACCAAATCTGTAAAATACATTTTGAGGTATCGTTAATTTAAAATATTTTAAGTGCTAACTGCATGGTTATTATGGATGAGATATTTACCGCTTAGATTTGTCTTATTTTACCGCAGCTCTAGGGAGCTTAAGTAAAACCTTATAAATCTTCCTGTTATTTTTATAAATATAATTTGTTGGAGCATGAAAATATTTTATTGTTTAGAATAAATGTGTATGTAGATGTAAAATAAAGTTCTAATTTTATTGCATATACATATTTATGCAAGATAAAGAATATATAATGAACAATTCTAATATTAATTTGAAATAGTGGTAAAATTTCCTTTTTGGCTATTTCCTCATCCTAATATAAAAATTGTTAACATTCCTATGATAAACCTGAGCAGTGCCATTTCAAAATGAATTCTTGTCATAATATTCTTATATAACACCCATGACAACTATGTAATAATACATAACATAAAATTTCTTTTAGCCAATAATAATATTCATATTTTTATACTAAACTTATTCAACCAATGGAACTAAAACATAAACATAACTTCACAAATCTTAATTTAACATTTTTATAATGTATGCTTTCTTCTGTCACTTGCCGTTGTCCGTCTACGATGTAGTCTGCGTTTTCTTTTTCTTTACATTTGTACTTCTGCCTGTGGGATATTATTCACATCGAAGTGCGTCTGAATTTGTTACTCATACTGCTATACTATTTCGAATTCGCAAGCAAAATATTTGCAACACAGTTAAAACAAACTAATGACATATAAAAAAGATGTAAAACGCTTAAGAAAATGAAGAAAGTGACTGCGAAAGTTGTTTCCTTCCCTCTTTTGTTTACAAACTTATTAAGGCATTTTGAAATCTGTCAAAAAATATGAAGTCCCATCTGCAAAATATAATCATATTTACATAATCTCATTAGCAGATTTTTTCCTAAGATTATTATTTCAAGAACTGAGTTCTATTGATTATTCATGGTATATTATATGATTTGTAGAAAGGCAGGTAAAATCTCTAAAGATATGTTTCCAGTAAAATATGTTTCTTAAAATGATAGGTAATACTTTTATTTTACACCTTAAATCTTATTTGGGGATTAAGAACAGGAAAACATTTTTTCTTCGTCTTGAGTTTAGATGCTTTCAGTAGCTCTTTGAATTTAATTATTTTTTAAATTATATATTCTGACTTCACAGCCTTTCGGATGCGTATAGTTGTTTCAAAAACACATGTCGCAGCTAAGCGTCGCTTTAACAGTTATTGGTAAAGAAAAGTTCAGTTTGAGAAATGAATCATATAAGGCAGGCTTTCATTCAGTGGCAGTTTCTGCCGCATAAAATCTGTCTGTAAAAATATACGAAATTTTATTTTTTTAATCCCTATAGAAAGAAATAACATTCAGAAAACCATTTTTTTTTCAGCCAGATTAATCAAACAAAGAAAAAAGTACTTTCTTCATGTAATCAGAATTACCCGGAGATACCAATGAAATCTGCGTGAAAGGATACAATATTGCGAAAGATAGTTCTTACGTTAAATTATCGAACGCAAACTTTTAAAGAACTTTCTTTGCTCCAGAAAACACTAATACATTGATTCGGCAATGATAACGTCAATTTCCACAGATATGATGCAATTACAGCATACATAATCAAAATAAGATCCGTAACGATTATTTTGAGTTTTACTCACAGTTAAATTTAATTTAAACATTTTCCTGTCTTCCCTTTGATTCACGTCACATCTATTTGCTCAGTTCATATTCTTATGAAAATTGAAGAATACGTAAGATAGCTTAAAAGCTATCGAAGGTGAATTAAAATTGAATTTTTATAAAGGGCTATTTTGCTGTTCGTAAAAGCTAGTACAAATTCGTTTGGAAGGAATTAGAAGCGTTGCCGTACGAGATTGGCAAATAGTTCGATCCGATCCATATTGATTAGCTTAGGATAAATTTCAGGTGCCTTGTTAGAGATATTTAATTTTAATATACGTACCTTAAAGGCAGCTGCCTAAAAGGTTAAAAGTTATGTTGTAAGTAACGGACCATTTTTAAGTGAATTTTCGCTTTAGTTATATATCATAGAACGTGGAGAAATAAAGTTTACTTAATTTTAAATCTGTGTTTGCGTAAGATGATTACAGTTAAATCAATAAATCACCACTATTTAATGAAGCAGCAGCACTTTGAAATAATTTTAATATTATTTTAGTAGAGTTTGTAAAGTTTCATTCTTTTCGGTAGCATTAACTAAGTCAAGACTCTAAGTAGATCTAAGCTACTTATCTAAGTCTCAAAGAGAAATGCAAGAAGTATGTAAAAGACCCTTTTATTAAGAACTCAAACAAGGTGAACAGAAAGCACTCCCGATGCTTACAAAACAAGACAACATTTATGGCGTAAACTCAAAAGTACGGGATTCAAATTTAAATTAAATCTAAGTCTTAGACAAAGTCTATGCAGAAATATTTAACTCGCAAGTTTGCTCAAACCTACATTGGCGTGACAGTACTATTCGCAAGATTAAAGCAACGCCGTAGACAGTAATGCTATTTTAGAATATCAACTAGCCACGTGGTCTACAGCAGGCGGAACACGCTCTGACTAAGGTAAACTCAAACCCTCATTTAAAAACGCACGAACTAAATTTTGCATTCCGGCAGGACAACTGAAAGGAAGAAATGACAGTAAAGTTTTTGAACATAAAATAACTAATTTAAATAAATACCTTAAATTTATAAATCAAACTATTCATTTTTAAAATATATTGATGTCTAAAATTACATAACGCAGAATTTTTATAATTTACCCTCTTTTTTAATTTTACTTCCCTTTTTTCTTATTTATAGTTTTTTTAGAGCCTCTTATTCTTCTGTTTTTACTGGCACGATAGCTCAGGGTGGACCATGGCGTTCTTTAGAACCCTTTGCCTATTCCACTCTCCGTTTTAACCGGAGTTTCCGATTTTATAATTTTAATGTTACTGTCGATACATTCTGACCATAAAAGCCTGTACCTGCCTTTGAATCCAGAGTCGTAGCTAGGGTTTTCAGCGCCCAGGGACAACTGAAGATTTCGCGCCCCCTACTGCTTGCCAAGGATGGAAAACATTTAACTCTAAAATGTCGTAACATCAGTTTGGAGCCCCTTGGATTCTGTGCCCGGGGACAGATGCCCCCTCTTGCCCCCCTCTAGCTACGCCCTTGTTTGAATCTTTTCCCTATTGTTTTAGAATTAAAATTTCTTAATGTTAAAAAACAAGAACTTATTTGGCAAATGTGTGCAACAAATTACTTGCGGTTAATTTTAATGCATTTGACAATACCACTTTGCATAATTTGTTGTTATATCTATGCTTCTCAATCTATCAGTTATTATAGTACCAAAGGTTTTTCTTGCGTTTTTTTTTTAATAGCGAAATGGGTTTCTTGTATCTTAATTAAGGCCGAGGTTTCAGAGCCAAACGAAAAGGTGTCTTAAACTAGTCTTGTACAGCAAGAAATCCTCCGGACTTGTCGGGACTTCGGCGATTCCGGATTTGGGATTTTTCCGGATATGAGATCATCAGTTTAAATCTAGTGAAATAGCGTGCAGAAATTATAAAATTAAAAATATGAAATCGTGATTTATGAAATAATAAAGCATCTATAATGTAAAGGGTTCCAAATTTACAAAACAAACAAAAAAACTTAATATTTTTCTGTTTAATTTATTAAACAGCTCTTTGAATATAAATTGTTTAAATTGCTTCATTTTTTGTGCTTATACTTTCTTTTCAATTCTGTAGACAGACATAACTTCTTGTTCAGTTATATAAAGTCCCGCTGTTCAAGTCCTGTAGTTACTGCATCGAGAAATAGGACCAACTTGTCAATCGAAATATTTTCGTTTTTAATATTCTCTCGTCACTTTCTTCACTATCGGTAACGGTATTTTCTGGATTTAGAACCATACTACAGATTTCGACGTCTGTTAATTGATTGATGATTGGAACATTGCCATCGCAATGAAAAACTTGTGTTTTATCATCTTCACTTATTACCGCTTCTCCACATTTCTTTACAAAATCCATTAATTGGATTAATTAAAGCAGATACGCAGCTACGGAGCCAAATTATTGGTCACACAAGATTTATGCTAAAATAATTGCTTCTTCAATAACGAGGTATTTTATTGATTATCGAAGTGAAATTAAGAATCGGGATTCTCCACATGCTTTCTTACGGGGGAAAAAATCAAATGCGCATGCGTAAAGCATTAAAATATAATTCCTAAAAAAGTTTTGTTGGTGGCTTTAAGGTTCGGATTTTAGATCATTCCGGATATTGAACTCCGGATTTCAGACTTTGTACTGTATAAAAGTAGTTTTGCCCGTGTTTTAGGAACTAATTTTGATTGTAAAAATTTTCCTAAGCCATAAAGACAGCGATTAGTAGAGATAATACCTTTCTTAATTTTTATATAAATATAAACTCGAGAATTTATTCTTGAGCAGATAAGTAAACTATTCACTAGTTAATATTTACATATAGGCTCTAATAAGTAAAATATTATTGCACAAATATATTATTACCTTTTCTACCGGACTGCACTGCTTCATGTAAAGGCATATCTCCCTTGGAATTCCTCAGCCACAAATTAGCCTTGTGATGAGTTAAAATCTTCAGAGTTTCTAATTGGCCTTTGGATGCTCCACAATGAGCCGGTCTATTTAAATAATAATAATAATAAAGAAAAAATTTAAAAATACAAAAGCCACCATCAGCATCTATTTATCTAATGAAATGCAGCTATACAATGCATATAAGAAACTTTTACTTTCACTCCAAATTTGTATTAACATATTGTTACTATTTCCTTAACTACAACAACAACAACAATTTAAAAAATCAGTAATTATAGCAGTATATAATTCAAAAATAAAAATTTTGGTTAATCTTAGAACTAGATTTTCATTTGCAAAAGGAACAACACAACATTAAATTTCCTGTTATTTATCACAAATCCTTTTGATAACGGTAGGTGGAATTTGTAATAAATACAATCTCAAGTATGTGTTCATACACCTATGTACGTCAATGAATGCATTTTTTTCTGTGCTGTAGCGTTAGGGAAGACAAAGCAATAATAGCCTTACAGACTATCCTTGGAGTTGGAGACGTCATCGTACCGTACTTACAGACATTTGATGCTGTGCAACGCATCCAGTTTCCTTACCCTGGGTACAGATTACAGGTTGAAGTATGAGAGACACCTATTTGGCACCTTGCGTCACTGGCTAACGTCCCCACATACTAATAATCTAACACAAATGACATCCCCCTGAATCATACGCCTCCACCCCGTAGATCACCATGCCAAACTATGACCTTTAGTACATGATGTGACTGTACGACTTCTAATAGCTAACCGGACAGGATGTCTGTCATCTCGGGCGTTGGTGAGCAACGACCGTTGAGATCGCACATGCTATTTGTGTGACTCTGTTGGACTCATCGATTACAGATTCTGATAACAATCGTTGAATCTCGAACAACATAAACAGTAGTTGTGCAGTCTCGGTAGGAAGGATTCTTTTGCAGTTGGATTCTGACACAAGTTCCTTCTTCATACACTAGGCATAACATAACCTCCAATACAAAAGCGATGCTTAAACGTGATTTCTGAATGAAAAATAGGCATTCTAGTCTACCCTTTTATGCTCTTGCTTGTGGTGTCCGCATTCCGTGAAAGGCTAATAATTTGCATATTCCAGTATGTTCGAAACTTACATATTAGAGCTACCATCTTGGCTCAGTTTGGCGACTTCTTTACAGATGGAAAAGAAAATTGATTTACAATTAAAGAAATTATTACATATATGTATATTTATTACGCATATATTTTATGTTTTGATGAGGTATTTATGTCGATAATCGATCAATTAATCTACTCCCAAAAAAGGGTTTTGATCCTTTCTGATTGAAAGCAGTTGCTTCCTTTGACGATTCTGAAGTAAAATGCTGTATTTCTACAAGAATTTTCTGCGGTTCCTTCCACTGCAAGAAAATTTAACCAGCATATATTTTAAAATAAACAAAAAATAAATAAATCACAATTTTACTTTGAAAACCCTTGGAATTTGGAATACAATAAATGTCTTATTAAGACACTGCTTGTTAACACTAAAGGACTATTATGCGCATGGCTTGGTCAGAGTTTAAAGTATTCTTGAAATATGGTAACTTCTTCAAGTGATTGCATTAACTCGTAAGTACCGTATTTTTTTAACTTTCGTGCAAATTTCATTGTGCTGTGTGTTTCTTTTATAGGGTAACATGTTTAATGTCCAGCAGCTTATATAAAATTCAGTGGAAATATTTTATTTTCATCATTGTTAATTACTTTTTAAATACACGCAACTTTTATACAAAATTATCCTAGCCAGAGTTATGTCACATTCGAATTCCGGTTATGCTATACATAGAAGTATCCATAAAGCAACTTATTCTTCAAGTAAATATTTATACGTTTTAGTCTTTTATTGTAGATTACATTAAAAAACATCTAAAAAGCATATATAAACAAAAACATGTATAAGATTTACTTTAAGAAAACATGTTATTTTGTATTGTATGAAACTATTAGAAGCTACTTTTAAGAAAAAGAAAAGAAAAACATTGTAGGAAGTTAAACATTAGCATTTTGTTGGATTATGATACGTTGATGTTATTAAACTGTCTCGAAGTTAAGAAAATGATACAACCAGTCAGCACGACAGCATTTTGATTAAATTGGAAAAAAATACGTCTTTCAGATCAGCGGTCATCCAACCCTTAGAATTTCACTGCCCACTACATATATAATTTTATATTTGACAGACCACTAATATGAATTTTAAAAAATACCATAAATCAGACCTTAAAAACAACATATTAATACGCAAAAACAATATTCAACTTTCTAATACATGTAATTCTTATTTTCATTTGTTAATATAATTTTCCAAACAATTGGTGTTCAGCAGCATGCCTTTATGGAAATTCAGGCTATGCCCCTGATTATGAGTAACAATTAAATCACTATTAACATCTCACCGATACAGATATTTCATTCACATTGAAATATTATACGAAAAGTACAAAAATCTTACCTTCTTGTACAGAAAGCTTCACATTTCCATATCACTGAAAAGGAACTTCACGAAAACCAAGATCAAACCGGCAAACGCAAAGCAATATCAACAAACTGAAAGTGTTATGCCGCCAATTTTTAGTTATTGTCAACGTTATAATCATCGCTTACTCAGCAATGGCGTCGTCGATGAACAGTTAGACAAAACAAAAACGGAAACTTTCAGTGATGCAATTAAAAGCAAGAAAGCAAATGGTTCTCATAAAAAATCCATCAGCTTGCTCTATTGATGCACGGAGAAAAACTGTGTTATTAACGACTACAATAGCATATGTTTGTAATTCAAAAGGAAAGATAATTCCAGTTCGCGCTATTATTGATAACAGCAGCATATCTATGGATGCCAACTCTCACTTTCAAATGTCGCTAGATACACCTGCAAAAGTAGCTAAAATGTCGCTAAATTCAGAAGGAATTTCGCTAAAAATAGTAGCTAAAATTTAAAAAAAAAAAGGTATTATCCATATTCCAATATAGGTTTTGTTACTCGCCACTTTTTTAAACGGAATCTTCATAAAAATATAAATAAAGTCCCAGTTTTTCTGCGGACCATCAAAACATTTTCGCAAACCACCAGTGATCCATGGACAAGCGGTTGGCGACCGCTGTTTCGGATTAATATTAAGAATTTTATTTTATTTTTTAGAGAAAGTTTATTGCTTAAAGCTGACGAACAAGTGCACCCACATATTTTTTATTTTATATATATTCGTTACAAGATGGTTCTAAGATGATGGATTAGCTCTACATTTGACATTTTTCTTGCTTTACAAATGTCTTGGAAAAACATATCTCCGATTAAAAATGGAAGTTCGCATTTCGCAATAAGCAGTTTTCAAACTGACAAACTATTGACAATTTGTAATTATAAATTCATTTTATTTATTTCTATATCTTACTTGTGTGTGATAATATTTGGATAGTATTTAAAATTACGTATAGATTTTTTTCATGTCTTGAAAAATTAAGTTTTTAAAATTAGGACTTAATTAGAGTTGCAACAATGCTGTATTCCCCGAAATATATGTAATAGAATTATTTAGCATTCATAAGTTAATTCGAGTTTCGACTTAATTACAGTAACAACCGGGATGTATTCTTTGAAATTTATATAAAAGAATTATTATTATAAATATTATAAGAAAATGAGCTTACGTTCTTCCCTTGTGATCTTGCTTGTCTGGATTGGACCCAAAACTCAGGAGAAGGTTTGTGCAGTCGGCATGTCCAAGAGTGACAGCGTAAAACAGGGCTGTACAACCATTGTCATCTACTCTGTCAATTTCGGCTCCACATAGAGTGAGTAAGGTCTCAAGACAATCTACATGACCTCTGCTGGCTGCACAGTGGAGAGCTGTCCCAAAATACGAATTTCAAAATTCTCGTGAGAATTTGTGAGAGATTTGTGTCACAATATGTAAGGATAAATGAAGAATAATTATTAAAATGGAAAGAAAAAGTTCTTAGTCGTCATATAAGTCGTTTACCTTATTCAGTTGGAATAAAAGATTAAGTTATTTCAGTTTTATTAATTTTTATCTAAAGACAATTACCTTAATTCTTTTGTGTGGTAGTTAAATTATGTGCATAAATTTATTAGTAGAGGCACGCTTTTTATACACTGGTGGATAATTCTGATAAAACGGATCAAAAAATTAAATATATGGCAGACTGAAACAATAATTTTCGAAGAAAGCCATAATTTTATATAGGTATGGTGTATCTGTTTGGCTATTTAAGGCACACAAAGTCTGTGGGAGAAACGCTTTTCATAATGGCCTTATTAAGTGTATTTTATATATGATGTAAATGAGGAAAATTTCTTGCAATCCCAAAAATATAATATCCTGCAAAAATCTCTCTGCCCGAAAATGTTGCATACAGAGAAAAGTTAAATCTCATGATAAGGAATGACTTTTGAAAAAAAGATATTTCTGTTCAAGAAGGTTCGCTAGTTAGTTCAATAGTCCTGTTGTCAGTTTTGCAAGAAGAAATGGAAATCTAAATACTGTTGTAATGTTTATTTTAAGTAACAAGTGATCACTTAAATTGAAAATGTCCTGTTGAACATTTTGTTTCTAGAATTTGTTTATACCATCAGAAGTGTGCTTAAAGTATAGAGAGAAAGAAGATTTAGTAAACGAGACTCGATGTGACGGTGAAGTTGCATTAACAAAATCAGACACGTTTTTAGGCTTTAATATCTTGACTTATAAATATCGAATTACTATAAAGCTGAAGGAAGAAAAAATTTAAGAAAAGTCCTCTGCCCTCTAAAAAAGAAAAAAAAAGGCAATCATAGTTTTTCAAAATCTACGATAAACTAAGACTGAAATTTTTTCTAATTTTAAACTTTGCCTTGTCCGTGTTTCTCTTTAAAGCTGAAATTTAGTTTGCTATTCTTTTTATCTGTATACTTTAAGTAACAATACATATTCTAGCATTTTTATCCGTTTATTGTTATCAGTTCTGCTATAGTACTTTAAGTTATGACAGAACGGAAAGGCCGCCACTCTTATAATCTATTTAGAATAGGTACATTCAAGGCCTTTTCTTCTCCCCTAACTATGACTCATAACTATGGCAACTACTGCTGCGTAGAAAAATATCGAATTCTCTAACTTGAAAAATCCCCTAATTCTCTTTCGAGATGAAGATAAACTCTACGATCGTAAATGCTGCGACCTTGGATGCGACTATTTTAAAGTAACAGACTATAGCAAAGATACGCGTTTTAGTTTAAGTGAAAGTAAAGTGTAATCTTAAAATATATGCATAAAATTTCCATGAACAGAAATAAAAGAAGTACAATCTAAGTTGTAAGTTTCATTGTGCGTGAATTAAAAACATACGGAAATAATATCTATCCTTCATATATTTTACATCTATTGTTTTAATTTGATCCCTGAGTATCTTTCTAGACTCATCCAAATGCACTGTAAAATTCAAGAACTATTGATATAGAAAATGTAAAGCATGAAAATGTGATAGGTGAAAGTTAGTGTGATAGGTTCTAGTGAGGTATAAATATCCAATGATATCACTAAAATTTCTTTTAAATGCTATTAAAAAAAGATTAACTTGTGCTCGAAAATTAAGTTACAAATTGCAAGTTTGATTGACTAAGACAGGTAGGCTGTTCTACAAGTTAACCGTTTTGATAAAGAAAAATTTGAAGCTGGATTTCTCTTATAATATCTGTTGTACTAGTAATTTTTCTAAATATGAAATTGTGAAATATCGACGGGCAGAGAGAAAAATAAATTTCCTTGCACAGTTCATCATCATCATCAATATACGCTAATATAATCACTCCCACGCAAAGATCTATATACAGTTCAAGCTTCTATGATGCTCATATTTTTAAATTAATACATGTTTCGAAGAGTAACAAAAAAAGATATTGCAAAAATGTTCCGTTCTACACTTGTCGCATTAAAGCGATATCATGTATTCCGTAATTATACACGCTACTTCATCATGTTCAAATTATCTAGCTTTAATATACCCCTGATTCCCCCCCCCGGAATGCTTGCTATTCTTAAATTTCCGTCTCAGCCGTGGCCTAAGCACGATATATTTGATGTGTACATAAATGTATATAATTAACCGTTCATACATTCCGTGGATATTTGGAATTCAGATTGTTTGCACTGAGATAACCTTAGTAAAGTATTGATAATGAAGTACGTAAAAGGATAAGATAAGTATTAGTTATCTGGGAAAATAACTGACCTCCGGGTTTTGTAACTGTCCTGCTATATTCAATTATTAAGGATACATGCGAGCTATTTTCTTCCATGGTTTCCAAGCTAACAACTTCCGTTTAAAATAACGAAGAAATTCAAAATGTATTGGAACATACTTACAAGAATTATTACGCATTAAAATTCTAGTTACCTGTAAAGTGAAAAAGCATTCGTAGTTTTATATATTGGGTATTATAAAAATACTGAGAGCCTTTTGCTCACGGGATAGAGTTAGTACCCCAAATCTCAAGATATACGAAACGCAGCCGGTTATTCAACAGCTGCATTTGAAGCTATTAGATATATAAAAATACTCTAACTCCTATGCTCAGAATTAAGACCTTGAAAGACGCTCTGAAAATGAATTTACGCAAAACTGGGCTATATTTCACAATTTTATTTCGATAACGGCATAAATGCTACTTAGGCCCTTGAAGAAATTCGTAATTTGTATGGGCGGGATACGTTATCAGATGCAACACAAGTTGATTTAGTCGTTTTCATTCTGGAAATTTCGATGTCCGATACGTTTTTCTGATGCTCAAGATGAACGCTCCAGGATACACAAGATGCTTCAGATGTTACTCGAGATGGTCCAAAACGCTCAAGATGCTTCTCGAAATGCTCTTTGTTGTCTGTCGGCAGTTCCTCTACAAGCTGTTGCCGCCAGGCAGAACGGTAGTCGAACTAACACTGACGATAATTAGTGAGACTAAATTTAGTAGTTCACAGAAACTGGGCGAAACGTGTCGAAAGAAAGGGTTTCGTATACCAATGCTGACAACTTCAGACTACATGCATCTTTAATGACACGTCAGAAATTGAAGGAACTTGGATGGGAGGTCCATATAGCTTGGCCTAGCACCATGAGACTATCATTTGACTAATTCAGAAGTCAAACAACAAAAATCAGCGTTATACCTACAAAATTTTCACAGGACTAGTTTCGATGGTTTTACCGAACCATCATCTTCAGCTGCAAAACCGCAAATGCGGTTGTCATTTGCGGTTTTGCAGCTGAAGATGATGGTTCGGTAAAACCATCGAAACTAGTCCTGTGAAAATTTTGTAGGTATAACGCTGATTTTTGTTGTTTGACTTCTGAATTAGTATTTATTCGGCGTGTTATTGTGTCTTAACTATCATTTGAATCGGTTTCTATAGCACTTCCTCAATGGTGTTTATTTTAGAAATGACCACGTGTCACAATTTGTAGACCAGAAACTGCACAAGCTCTGTAGCAACGGCATCCAGAAATATGACAGATGGTCAACGGACAAAATGGTGAGGATGTGTTTTCATAATGTTATTTTCCAGTAACAATAAATGTAGTATCAATTTTTACATTTAAAGGATAAATACACTTAGACAAACCAATATGTCAGATGAGTATTTTTTTTTTTCATATAGCAGTACGATTAGAACACAAGGTAACATAAATTTAAATTTAATTTAAATAGACATTATAGATATAGATAGTCAAAACGCTTGCTTAAACACCCATATATTTTATTAATAAAAGCTTTCAGATATTTTTGAACCATTGCCAGACTACACTCAGGAAAAAGAACATCTCTGATCCCAGGTATCTTTTCTTTTCATCGAGTTCTCAAGTAGAAGAGCTCAGTAATTAATAAAATACACGAGTGTTTTAACAAAGACTTTGACAGTTTTCTAAAACATACTTTGTTTATTATTATACATTTGTTTAAAATAAATGGAACTTTACTATTTTATAGTAAATATGCTAAAGACTAATTTACAAAACTTCTTTGTAAACTAAGGTAAACTGGAGTAATGATAAAATACATTTGATAATCAAACGAGGATGAAAACGTTTTTTTACCTGTCAAGCCATCTCGATCTGCTGCATTGACATCTGCTCCTGATTTGACGAGAGCCAAGATGGCGTCGCTGCTCCCTGAAGGACAGTACGTTTTACTAGCTCTGGTCTCTTCAACCATATAATGACATAAATTTAAAATTACCATCATAAATTTGCTTCGAATAATAAAGACTACTCATGAGCATAAGCTCCAATGCTTGAATACTATTGTTTATAATTTAGAAAAAATAATTTATAATTTGTAAATAATTTAAAATTAATTATTTATAATGATAGATTATAGATAATGTGATATTTTTGGGCCGAAATATGCTTCCCTGTAAGTTCAATTTTTATGTGCATTGAATATAACAACTCAAAAATATTTATTATTGAATTCATAAGTTTTATTACTGATCACTAATTTTAAAGAATTTGTACTAAAAATGAATTGCGAAATTTAAAATTTAGAAACCAAACGAGTAACTTATGGACTATTTTACAGTGCCTGAATAAATTGATGTTGAATAGCCCGAAGACGTCAGAATTCTAAAATATAAGAAAATTAGTGAATATATTTTGGGCCCAGTACCGGCAGAACGGTAAGATCGCCGAATACAGAAGGTTTAACTTTGGTTCAAATGATATCAAACGGGCTATCTGCACGAGATTTTTGGTTTCCCATGAATAACGTAATACGAACAAATTTTCTCAGAACATTTTTCTCAAAAATATTTCTTTCCTTTAGGCAAATAGTCCTGGAAAGATTTGTCTTAATTTAAATAATAGATTTCTATTTTGAGTGTTATCCCAGTGTCTTAAATGTTAAATAGTATTTAATCAAGTATCATTATGTTTTTTTCTGATTGTATCATCAAAACATCTAGAAAATTTTAAATGATGACAGCCATTTGATGATTCGTAAACAAGTAAACAAACTTCGAAATCGTATTCTAACAGTTTGTTCAAAATGCACCTACAAAGCGCGTGATCAATGATTTCTTTATATATTCTTCGTTTAATGTAAAGTTCGTCTATAATGTTATCACATACATTGTTTCGAAAGCCATCACTATGTGGAATCTGCAATTTTTTAACTACAACACTTTGTTCTTTTAAATTGCGTCGTTTGGGTTGATTCTGGTTATTCTTATTGAGAAATTGTCGACTTGTGAGTAATCTTTATAAACTACAGCATCCATCTTTTCATCTTCTGGGGTGTAAATGGTTAGAACGTCCAAATAGCTTTATAAGATATTTCTCCCGCCTTCTTAGCGAGCCTTCGTGGTGTAGTGGTCTGCACGCTCAGCGCGTAATTGAGAGGTCTGCGGTTCGATTCCCGGAGAAGGCGTGGCTATTTTTTTATCTTGCTTGCTTCAAATAAAATACCTAATGCCTCTAGAAGCTATCGAGAGATTCGTGGTTCGAATTTCGAAAAATCTAGTAGCTTGTACATTGGCACCCGAATTTAAATATGGTGATTAATAAATCTTGATCACCTGGATTTGTTCGATTGGATCGTGTGCATCTTTCTAGCCACCCTTTAAATCCGAGAGGGTGTAAAGAATTATCACATTCCCGTATGCGTGTTCTCCTGCTACTCGGAGAGAGAATAGTTGAATTTTCCTGTTTCCAGGTTTCGAAAAACATAATTTCTACAGCTGTGCATTCCAAGATTAGTATCCAAATTCTGGCTAGAGAATGTGATTTCCTGACATACAGAATGTGCCAATTTAGGAAAATAGTTTCAGTTGTTGGCCTTAGAAAAATGGATTCGGGAACAATTTTGCGAGAATTTTTATATATTATTTTTATAAAAACTTCACAATAGCCGTTAACAGTCTATTCATTTATTAACTGGGCCATATCGCTAATATGAGACTAATATTATCTGACTCTGAAAGTAACGTTCATTGACATTTAAATTATAGCATATGCATGAACCAGATGCTTAAAGGAGCATTAACACTATAGTCTAATCATAATTATTGTCGAGATCCTGAGGCGTAAAAGTCCGTTCGCGCCTGTGAACATGGTTTAAGCCTTAGCCGATTAGAAAAAGCAAAGCCGCATTTGCATAAATGGGCAGCTGATTTAGAGAAATAGTCAATCGGATGTCAGTTTGTGTTTGCATCGCTGTGGTTGGTTGGTTCTTATACCATGCTAATGTAAAGCTGAACAATTGGAACATTTAGGCAAAATCTTTACTCCAATTTTTATGATGTAGCAATATCTGATTGACTAGCAGCGATGCCCGGTTTATGCCATTTATAACACAAAGCCCTTCTTTGAACGATTCTTAGCGTACCAAAGATTATACTAGACGAAAGTTAGAGCAAATTATAAAAGTTCTGTGAGTCCTGACACTATTTAATCGTTTAAAATATATTTCTGTGCACATACATAATTAACGGAAAAACTTTACCGTAAAGAAATTTCGAAATGACCGATTTCTTTCCAAATTTCGGGAGTTAAGGTGATATAGTATCTGGCTGTAGCACTCTCATTATATTAATGAAACGGCCCTCTCAGAAGTACTATAAGAACAGTATTAAGTATTATTTACTGAGTGCTATTCTTTGTGTTGCTTGGGTCGATTAATTTTCTTTTCACGAAACAAATTGTTCATCGTAAGGGGGATAAGCAGTTCTTGCAAGCTAATGAAGCTGTAACGCGTGCTAAAAATTGCTTGTCACTTCATGATATGTATATTTATATAGATAGCTAGAATATAAAATGCGGATTAATTGCATATAAATGGCTTTATTAAAACATACGTGTTGCTGTTTATAAAGTATACAACTGTTACTGAATCCATTTCAAGAACTCAAACATAAGTGCAATCATAAATTTTTGGAGGGCTATGAAAAATGCTGGTTTATAAGACTGCTTTCTTGATGTTTAATACGACTGAAAGCTGTGGTATGATTGGAGTAATCCTGAAATTAGCGTTTTTTAGAATAACGGCCTTCCCTTCGAAATAAGAGCTAAAAAATATTTCAGTCTAAAATACAGTCAGACCCCACCCTCCCTGTGACGAACTTCAATAGACCAGAAGTTTAGTTCTTTATATCTAGTGATTCGTTATATCTGATGCCATAAGAAAAATGGCTTACTTCCTAGAAACGTATAAAAATTGACTGATGAAGCGAAGAATTGATTAGCATTGTTTCATCTATCAATAGAAATTAATAATAAATATTTTTGAAATAATTATATTTAAATGTTAGTAACTGCATTTATTATTACCTAATATAAAGTATTTCTACCGCCTTCTCAGCATGTCTTCGTGGTGTAATGGTCAACACGCTCGGAGCGTATTCGACAGGCTTGGACATATGAATCGACAGGCCATATGAATTAATATTAAAGCTTATATAAAACTAAATCAAATTGGTTTTTACCATGTGTAACATGTATACGAGCCGGCTTCCTGTAGAAAGTCCGCCACGAAGGCATCCTTTCCCAGAGGAAGATAGCCCTTGAGTGCTTTGCAATTAATCAAATAAACCAAAACTTTCTTTGGTAGAACGTTATAGTTTACCTAATGCTGTTTCATCTATTCAAAGCAGCTTGAAAGGCTCCGGATACCTTTAAGGTAGCAGACGATTGAAAATTTCAAAACATTAAATAGAGCAAAGAGAAAAAGAAATTATTTTTTTTAATTTTACAGAAAATCTTTTGATTACCTCCGAGCTTTAAAAATATTAAAAGAGACTCTCTTAATTAATATTAAAACATCACAAATTAAAAAATTAAAAATTCAGTAACCGAGAATGGTATGAAATGCGTAGACGTACAACAGCACATATATAAATTGAAATAACATGTTTAGTGTAGCACCATTTTCTGAAATGGAAAAGAATCTGAAAATCATTGGAGCCAGAAGGGAGAGATGAAAAATATAAAAATACTGCGAAAAAATTTTCAGATCAACACAATATGTATATACAGTTTTCTTGGCCTGTCTGCCTTACCAAAACTTGACTACTTAGTGTGGCTCTTTCGTTTTCTATCATGCTGTTATTAGTAAGCAATCAAAATATTTTGTAAAACTGTACTACAATAAATTTTCCATTTGATTCAGATCTTTCTTCAAATATTGCATAAAAGAACATCTAAAAGACATTTTCCTTTTACTAAGTCTTTCCTTCCTTTGTAAAACGGAAATCCTTCTAATTTCTTTCGCAACCCATGAAAGATAACAATATAAGATTTTCGTAAACGTAAAGTCGTCGCGGAAACATCGTAGTAAAAAATAAAGCGGGGCAAAATCTTCGTAATTTTAAAACATCGTCGTACAAAATATCATGATTAAAAATAAAGCACCTATAAATCATCGCAGAGAGAAGTCTTCTTCGGCTTTTAAACATTTTAATGAATTTTCGTATAGTTATTTTTGAGCAGAAGAAGAAAATACATCGTATTTTTGTATTAACTAATACATTTTTCTGAAAAGCGAGAAGGAAACTTAAATTAAACATTCAAAAGCGGGAAAGTAATAAAAAGTCATGCTACGTGTACCAGTCAAAAAAGAATTTTAAACTTACTCACTATTAAAAGTTAACAACTTTCATGAACAGGTAGGTATACGTAGTTTTTCATGACAAAGTACAGTATAAAACATAATAAATAAGATGAAATAAATAAATCTTATTTATTATATTATCTGCTCTTTCTAATCTGTTTTAGTAATAAGAAAGATTAGAAGGAGAAAGAGACATAAGTTTAAAATTCTACTAACTGCTATATGTAGCACTAAATTTTTCTAAATTTCAGTGTTTAAGTTTCCTTCTTCCTTTATCATTAAATACGTAATTCGAAAGTATGAAATATAAAAATAAAAGAAATTTCCCTGTTTATTGTATTTCAGATCATTAAACAAAAATTCACTGAAACTTTTTATAGCCAGAAAATGCAAGTCCACTGTAATATCATCATGCAATGAATTATAGGTGTTTTATTTGCATGATATTTTGTACGATGAAATTTTAAAACTAAACTGCGAAGTTTTTCATAGCTATGTTTTCTATCACTGTGTTTTAGAAGTGCGATGTTTTCTCCTTGCTTTTTTTATGAGGTATTTCTCCCGGTTTCCTAAAATACCTTCGTGGTGTAGTACTTCTGCATGCTGGGCCGGTATTCCAGAAGTTCGTGGTTAGATTCCTGGCGAAGGCGATTGCTCATTTTTCATCTCTTCTGCTTCCAAATATATACCTAATATCTCTACATCTTTGCTATCATGATGTTTTTTTCGAGATCCTTTTCCTCTTGCATTATTATTTCCGCAGCATTTTCATCCATGATATTTTTGGCGGAGAAAATACGAGTTTTCGCCAAACAAGGAATACTTATATTAATATCGTCAGAATAATTACACGCATTTTAACACTTTTAAATTTAGTTTAAGATGTTTTAAAGAAATCTTTCTTACTCTCCAACGCATAGAAGATTCTTATTTTAACTGAAATTTTTTCAACAAAGTAAACACTTGCCGAGAGCGGATATGCGAAACCCGATTTTGCATGTGCGTGTAACTTTAATTCTTTCCGTTTAATTTGTCCAACGCTAGAATTTCCTTCTTATGCTGCTCAACGCTCATTCGTCAACTTTAAATGTTTGCTGGTATCAGCAGTGGCAGTAGTTGCCGATAATTTTAAAGTACTTCCCTCAATTGAAAAGGAAGCCAAAGAAGTCGTGCAAACTACAAAAGCAATTGGCGACGAAGGATTTTCAGCTATGAAAGAACCAGAAGTCAAAAAATTAATTGAGAATGTCGATCGAGAAATTACGAATAAAGATTTGGACGATTTTATGATACCCACTCGGGAGAGCACCTTTAGCTTAAAAAAGATAAGCGTAGTGTTAAAAAAGGATGGGATTTGTCTGATTTTGAAATTTAGATCGACCTTAATGGACAAAAAAGAGGACGTTTTATGAAAAGCTGTGCACACTTTCCCTCAAAGCTTTTAAAGAGATTGTACCAAGCGAAAATCGCCAGCTTCACAAAAAAGCATTCGGCCTAACGCTTCTTTGGGCAAAAAATATTTGAAAACAGCATACCTTTAGAGTTCCCAATAGACAGTCTCGCGAGCTAGTAATAAAAATATTTTATTCCGTTCAGTGTTGCCACGGCTCGTAAAAGTTTTAAAAAATATTGAACAGATAATAAAATAAATTTGAAATTCAAAATTCGGGCTTTCAGGTGCCCATGTTCGGGTGGAGGACTACTTATTAAAAATTGATAGCTCTAGGTACCATTGTTTTTTCACAATGCGGCAATCGTACATATATTCATGAAGATTCCTCATTATTTAATTTCTTTGAATATAATACAGGGCGTTAATACTTGATGACAACAATTTGAAAAGAGATTCAATGCTTTTAGTAATTCGGCGCAAAATGCCGTTTCGACACTAGTAACCTTCAGGGGTAACTCCTTTTAGGCTTATAACGTTGCGCGCCTCCAACTTGCACGCAACCAAGAGGTGACTGTGAAAGCTGTATAAAACACAGAGTCTTGTAAAGGGTTTAAGTCCCTTTTTATTCAACGTAATAAATTACAATTGCGTCCTCTTGACGCTTACAGACGGTGCCAACTCGGCAGTCAAATAAAAATAATAACCTGAAAAGAAACAAAAGACAAGACTCTAACTACGAGGCTCTCTAAAATAACTAACTCACCGCGTTTTACAATACCGCTGCTAATTCAGCAGACTTGAAGCTCACTGGAACGATTACCCGCCAAGCACATAGGCCGCAACGCGGGGTGCTTCAATTCTCGCTAACTACCTCCGCGCTCGTGCAGTACGAATATCACACACCGAACTTGTTTCCTTCTATTTAAATCAGAACTTCCGCTGATAATTTGAATCCTTGCGCGTTCTACTCAAATTTACATATTCTGACATTGGCAGTTCCAGGGGAAAGTAAGGCTTGACAGGAAAGATAGCTTAAACTTAAAATAAATGTTAGTTAAAATAAATATAAACCCTACAGGCTAAAAAACTATTTTTCACTTACTTATTATGAAGTAATAAAAATCCTTTCAATTAACACTTGCTTTGTTTCCCCCCTTTAATTATAACGGTATTTAGGTTTATTTAAATTATCTACACCTTCTTAATCATAATCATCCCCAACACACTTTTTCCATAGCAAATTAAATTTACGAAATGCGATTTTGCCGTACGCGCAGTCTATTAATGTCATAAATCCCCATTTCGAAAAGGGCTCACTGAATACATAAAATATACATTGAAGACATAAAATTAACGTTAAGAAACAAAAGTGTACTGAATAAAAGAACTTGTAATACCAAGGTGATGAAAGTACTCACCTCCGCTTGCAGCCCAGAGCAGGGGTGGACGACCGTCACGGTCCACGCATGATACGTCCACGCCCCTCGAAAGTAATTTAGTGAGGACTGCCAGCCCCACGCGCACATCATTCCCCATCTCACTGTTAGGACCACACATCTGGGCTGCGTAATGCACTGGGTAAGCTCCGTGGATGTCCGGCGTTGAAGGATCGGCTCCGGCGTTTATGAGTAAATCTAAGCACTCCAAGTCTCCGCTTACTACGTGAAAATGCAAATTTTTAGTCATTTTACACGTACAGGTTTTTAATCATGTATACTACTTAAAAGTTACATTAAGATTACATTAATTGCAATACATGAAAGACTGTAACAGTTTAAAAAAATTTAGGGTATAATGCAAGCATACAATCAATTCGTACCAAATTTCGAAATATGAAAAAATTTTGATATGATATGCAATCCTAAGATAGAGAAATTAATGAAGAACCTTGGATAAAAGACAACCAAACTGCTATATGATGGATAGTACACAGCTAAAAATTTACACGCTTAAATAATTTATTTCTCAAGCAATTGTTTTGGATTTCACACTGCTATATGGTGTTCAAAATATGTTATAAATGCAAAAAAATATAGGTGCAAAGTTTGGTTACCTGTTGCCCAATGTACACAAGAATGCTTTTCACTGTCGACGGCTCTGCAGTCAGCTCCTCTGGTTAGAAGGTATTTCACTATAGATTTGTTTCCACTAATGACGGCCAGGTGCAAAGGAGAGTAACCTTCTTCGTCCGGGGCGTTAAGTAGTGTAGGAGCGACGGAAAGAACAAGACTGGCGCAATCCACATCCGTATTCTCTGCACAATAATGCAGGGCATTCTTACCGGTACGATCCCTCTGTAAAGCTGCGCCTGGCTGTAAGTGGTACAAGAAATTTTCATATCAGTTCTGAAGTACCAAACCATATTTTTTATATAAAAATGTCAACTAGGAAAATTATTTAAATTTTGCTTAAAAGTTCCCTTTAAACTTAAAAATAAAAGGAAATTCTTTTATTCAAAGTAAATTGTCTTTCCGTTAGGTTAGGTTATTCCAATATGGCAAAGCATTCGGTGACTACCTGTCTAACGGAAGAGATGTCTTCGTAGAAGACGTTTCAAAGGAAACTTTGGGAAACTCAAACACGCAGCCATCCAACTCGTCTGGAATGGAACCCAAGTCAAGCACCAAGTATTCAAGTGAGCCACTAATGTTCACTTGAAGCTCTTTTAAACAGCTTCATTTTTAGATCTGCAGACTACATGTATAGCCCTCAGCATTAATTATGCAGTTTCGCCCCAGTTTTAATGGAGGAGTACTCCAGGAGATTGTCCCAATCCTTTTCCCTACTACCTAACCATTCGAAAGGACTTTCCGCTCGCTACTATGTTGAGTTTACCGAAGCTGCTCAAAATGCGATATACTATCCATGGCTTCTTCAAAATTCGAACACGGATACATCGGTATAACAGTAAGTGTTGCTAATTTTTCATTATATTTCCTTTCGTATACGCATCATAAAGGGGATTTATAGGGTCACGCAATTAAGAATTGCGTTCCAACGGGTCACCGAACAACTTTCCAAATTCAAATAAAAGCATTGTAAAAGTCTTAAAAATAGTAAACACACTGTGTATCTTATAATAAGTTTCCTCCTGAAGTTCAACTGAAGTTTGTCCGGATTTTGATTTCAATCAACCATTGTACATATGCTGGATTTTGTCTACTTCACATTTTTATTTCTAAAATATTAGTTATAGTTTCAGTCTGAAAATTCTGTGTTTTGTTGTTAACAATTCAATAAAATTTGGCCCTACCATTGGTTCAGTGATTCAACTCGCTTAATTCTTTTAACCCCGGGTGAACAGGCTAGCTGCACGGGTGTTTCGTGTCGTTTTTCCCATGTGTAACCTAAATATGAGCAATTTGTTTTTAGAAAACCGTCGACGAAAGAATCTCTAACTTAAGGCAGATTGGCCCCAGTGCTTTGTCATGTTCAAGTAATTTAACTTAACCAAGATAAAAATTTAAATGATTATTTTACTTTATGATCTATTCTTTTGACTGGAATTATTAATATTATGTTAAGAAATAGTAATTCATCATTTCAGCCGACTTTATTCATAATGCAAATAATTATATTTAGTTTTGAAGTTATCAAATTATATTTAGTTTTGAAGTAATGAATGTCTTAAAAGGAAAAACACACAAACAATAAAGTTTGCCAAATCTTTAGATTTAAATTTGAGAGAAAGTATCTAAAATACCTGAAAAGTTGCTATATCGTAAAACGTCGAGGATCTTTTAAGAACCCTTATAAAAACTTTTGAGAACTGAAATTATCTCTTTCATGTTTAAATTAATACAAGGATGCTCAAATGTTAACCAGACGTTCGAATTTTCGCGCGGTGATTCCTGACCTTGAACATGCCGAACACCATGCTAACCATGGAGGTAAGAAAGGACCTTCCTACTACCTCCATGGTTAAAACGCGTTAGTATGTGGCCACTTTAAGAGTAATAAATTAGCAGAAAATGCCACAATACCTGGAACAAAAGGTGCAAAACTGCACTGTCGAGGAGAAATGATATTGATATGCAATTTGTGGACATTATTTGTTGATTGTTTATATTATTTTTACTTGAAGTATTTTTCGCTTAGCGATGCGGAAGTAATTCATCACAGGTAAAGGATAAAATTAACGAAATAATTCTACGTAATATAGTTCACAATGTATGAAAATTATTTTCTTTTTATAATCCGGTAACATGTGATAAATCTGTTAGCATTTTCCCCAGCATTTCGAAAACAGTTTTATGCCCTATATAAAAGAGTTTAGGTACGCGTTTTACTCGAATAGCTACAATGTCTTTGAGGAACACCAGGTGTCCTTATCGGTTATATGAGACAGACAATATTCTGTGTGTTATTTGCGAAGACTGATAAAACATTTGGGAGCTTAAGATCTCTTTTTTTTATTAAAACCTTTACAACAAACCTTTGTTCCACGTATTGAGGCATTTCCTGCTAATTTATTACTCTTAAAGTGGCCACATACTAACGCGTTTTAACCATGGAGGTAGTAGGAAGGTCCTTTCTTACCTCCATGGTTTTAAGCATGGTGTTCGGCATGTTCAAGGTCAGGAATCACCGCGCGAAAATTCGATCGTCTGGTTAACATTTGAGCATCCTTGTATTAATTTAAACATGAAAGAGATAATTTCAGTTCTCAAAAGTTTTTCTAAGGGTTCTTAAAAGAGCCTCCGACGTTTTACAATATAGCAACTTTTCAGGTATTTTAGATATTTTCTCTCAAATATAAATCTAAAGATTTGGCAAACTTTATTGTTTGTGTGTTTTTCCTTTTAAGACATTCATTCTTAAGTTTAAGTGAATGAGCATTACCATTTGGCAGCTAGAATGGAATACTCTTCTGAAGAAAGATCTTTTAATAAACCGGAGACTTCATGTCAATATCCCTTGGCAATCGCTGTGCCTTTCTACATGTTTAACGGAGTGCATTCATTTTTAACACAAAGGTTTTTTTTCCCTTAACTGCTATAAAAATCCCACTGATTTACATCATCAGAAAGATTTCTAATTTCCGATTGTGTTTATGTACTTTATCTTGAGAATCACTGTATTAAATCTATCTATATCGAAAAATTTAATATTGAATAATCTATTGAATAATTCAATACAGATAGTCATCGTCGAAATAAATTCTGCCAGTTCACTTTTAAGGTAGAGTGGCCCTAAGATATTAGGTTTCACTTTGAATATAATTATTAACGGAACATGAGTTTAAAATCAATTCTCAAGAGTTGTAAATAGCCATGTCGAATCTAGCGGACAGTTGCATTCAGCTGTTTTCTTGGTGGACCAAACGTATACGAAAATTTCCTTTTTTAACATTCGGAAAGACCTGATTTCAACTTAAAATTTTCATCACATGAAAATAAAGGAATAATCGACTACGATTAGCTAGTTACGGTATAAGGTATTTCCTCCTTCCTTTCCGCAAGTCTTCGTGGTATAACTAGAAGCACGTTCGACGCGTTCGAATTCCGAAGACATTGCACATTTTTCACGTTATTGCATCTGTATAACCTAATGACTCTAAAATGTATTTTGGTAAGCTTGTTACCTATTTCATCCAGTAGTACATCAGGATTTCATTAAATTATTTGCTAGAATTAACTCTTAGCTCTTGTGAAATCACATTTAAATGTACAGAAGCAACAGAAGTAATTGAAAACTGTACCTGTCTTTGAATTATATTCCGAACGTCTTCTTTGGCTTCTTGTTGGCATGCAAGCATCAACGAAGTGTGACTCGGGGATTGAGATCGCTGGGCTCTCTTATTCCGCTTCAATTCCATGGAAGGAGCGGCTCAACCCCGCCCCCTCCTCAACATCTCTTCAGGAACACGTCCTGAAAGAAAGAGCAAAAAGTGCATCATAGACGATTCAATCAATGGCTAAGAGCACTCATTTCTAGAGCTAAAAGTGTAAAATAGGCAACGTATCCGGGTAAGAAATTAATAATGTATACAAAGCTGAACTGTCATCTACGTTTAAAATATGACTGTCGTGATCTTTCCTTTTTACCTTGATTTTGATACAGAAAAAAAATTTATAAAATGCTGACTTTCCTTGGATAGAAGATGCCCTGTTTAAAACTGGTGGAGATAATAAGAACAATTTACTTGATTTCAAAGATGAAAACATGTACGGAATTCTACAAGGAGTAAGAAAATAAAGGATGCAAATGAATATGCATGCTATTTACATTTTCCTGCTTTATCCTGAAAACAGTTAAATACAAGTACTTTAATTCTAACATTTGACAGAGAAGTTAGGGAGAAGCACTGATTTTCTCAAATCTTAGTTGTCAGACTCTTCGTTAGTGAACATGTTAATCAATTTGTTTAAGTAATTTATTTAGGTCTGATTCGCGAAATTATTAATTCTTTCAATATTATCAAGTTATACACGCAAACTTAACATCTTTCCCTTATGCCCTCTCTATGCATCTTTCTTTTTTCTTGCTCTTTCGTTACCACATCCCGTACCTGGTGTTTACAGAACACTTCTGGATTAGAATTGCTATAATGATGTTGATATAAAAGCAGCCATTTATAATTTACGTATAAAAGACGGAGTTAACGTTTTTTGTGCTTTTGTTACATTTATTTTGCTTAAATCATTTTTCTTGAATTCGATGGGCGTTTGGTTAGGAAAACAATCTTGCTCTAAAATACATTAGTAATTCAAAGACTATGTCTGTTAAGATAATGCATCTCATATAAAACTTGGCCGATATTTCACAGTTATGTAGATTTAAAAAAAACATGATTAAATATGAAAAGAAAAATATGATTTTAAGTACATAATATTTGTTTGCTAGTTTTTAACGTTTGAGGATGAATTTTTTCACGATCGTCATCAATGATGCCAGGGTTCGAGATAACTTCGAGTTTCTTGAGTTTGAGAAATTTTGTCTAAATGTTTTTACCTTTCAACGCTGCTCCAAGATGGAATAAGAACCAAACAATCGTAATTAAACAAGCAAGCTAAAGACCTATAGGTACAATCGCACAACTGGCATATTTAACGTCCCGGATTGTCTTATACTTTGCTCAACAGGCGCGAAGGAAACTATTGACATTTTCGTCTTATGACCGTGATAATTAGTATGTTTAAGAAAAAGTGAAAGCATTCCTTAATGGAATTACTTGAAACAATTGTTGGTAAATCGGTTGGCAAAGATGGCACCATTCAACCCAACAACGAAGATTATTCCTGTAGATATTAAGAACAATTGTTATCGTTTTATGCGGACATACTGAAATTTTTTTTGCAAGGGTGAATAGTGAATGTATTTAATTATTACAATTATTTTTTACAGCTTTAATGAAGCACTTCATATCATAGACTGTTGGACGTTTAATCTAGGAAATTTAAATATAATATTCTGTGCCACTGAAAGACGCCAAATGTTTCCATCCCAACAATTTCTTTATTCTTATAAAAGAGAAATTAAGATGCTATGTTATTTGTAGTCTAAAATGTTCATTTTCCTAGATTTTACACACACTAATATTGAAAATTTAAAAATTAAATTTTAGGCATATCAAATAGGGTTCTACAAAAACGAATAATGCAAAATTGGCTAGAGAAGCACATACATTATCTGTAAAAATGTACAGATTCAGTAGAAATAAATATGCAGTAGATCTGCAACGTTTCAAGACTTATTTTAACAAAATCTAACAAACCTGCCAAACGATAATTGACAGCTTTTATTACTATGAAATCTCAGCTTATTTCTGTGAGAGTACTGGCTACTTAAAAACAGAATTTTCTATGAAGTTAATCGTTTACATTTATCCAAATAACATGTGATATCATGGATTCAAAAGCTGAGCAAAACGAGCAATGTAGTTCAGCAGTAAAACGGAAAAAAATCGTGATTTTTTTCAAAAAAAACTGTGAGTTGATATAAATCTAATACTTAATTCAACGCTTAATACTTAAGCCTAATACTTAATAATACTTTATTAAGATTCTGAGACAAATTATTTGCTAACTGTGGAAGGTTCTTAGCGGCCACAGAAACCTAGCCTATGCTGGTAACATTTTTGATTGGAAAAGAATAATTCATAATGAACTTGTTCCTAAGGGACAGCTTGGAAAAAAATCATATTATATAAAAAGGTTATGAATAGACCTATGAATGAAATTAAACGCGTTAGACCAGAAAAAAAAAACTAAATCCAATAACTAGTTTGTGCTGTATGATAATTCACCGTCACGCAATTCGCCTTTTTGTCAAGCAGTTTATGGCAACAAAAGGTGTAACAGTTTTCAATCATCCACTTATCACCATATTTAGAAGAATTCACCATACTTAGCACCTACAGACTAGTTTCTCTTTCCTAAAATGAAGTCTGTCCTAAGTTTATTATTTTAATAGCACTTAGGTGAATATGAAAACCATAAACAGACGTCTAAACAGAGTTTTAAAAGATGAGTTCTACGAGGAAATTGAGCAGCTGTATGAAACTACTGAGCATTGTATAGATTTATAAGAATTGCTTACTGAAAGTTAGAATTAGTAAGTATTTAGTTTTAAAACTTCGTATACAAGATAAATATACAAATTCACAATATTGTCATCACAAAATTTTTGAAACTGAATTAAATTCTGAGCAAATAATAACTTTAATCTGGACATCTAGCGTTTCCTTTTGATATTTATAGAACTTTTTAACCGTGTTTCAATTCTGGATTGGAGTGCTGGGTAAAAAGCCTACTTGGGGGGGGGATATGAGTCAGTTTTGTTTATGAACTCAAAAACTAAAAGGTTTTTTGGTTCTAAAGCAAATCAATAGAAGCTGCGTGGAGAGTTCTGATCATTATTCTAGCTGACCTATTTAGATACTAAGCATGCAAGGTGCTTCGTTTCAGGAAGCATTATACCCGAAACTAGTAGTTTCATTAATGAGTTTTTTCATTTATTCGTTTATTTGAGTTTATTCTCGTTTTCTTGCGTTTATTCGAGTAAACAAAGCATTCATAAACCGTATTTTTGCAAAAAGCCGCTCATTCTTTCTCATATGTTTATCTCGTAAATATGTACTCGGGACATCTTAGCAACTGATATATTATAGTATCTGGTTTTTTAGAATCATCGGCTCTTTCGTAAATTACTTGTAATAAAGAAATTAAAATATCTTTAAAAACTTTTCTTGTATGAAGTCACGCTCTTTTCCCATTAGTGTATTTAACTGTAAAGACAAATAATATTTCTACTTCCTGTATTTATATATAGCAGGTACAAAAAAATCTAGGGCTTATGCAAAATTCCTAACACAGATTTTGGCAAAAATCTTTAACTTCACTTAATCTTTAACTTAAATCATTATCTTTAGCTTAAATCTTTAACTTAACTTACATTTATTTACTTTTAATGGCAATTCAATTAGAAGAGAAACACGTTAGAGTAAAACTTTAAATTAGGCAAAGCAACAACTTTGAGGTAAATTGTGAATTCAAAATCTACACTCACGTTTGTGAAAATTGCAACACCAAGAAGGAATCGTCATAATTGAATGCAATTTTAATACAGTTGAGTGGTAGTGGTACAAAATAAATGATTAAATGTTCAAAGCAAACAAACAAGAACAAGAGATCAGAATCAGTATTTTGTGTGGCCACCACGCGCCGCAATAAGTGCTGCTACACGACGTGGCATGGAGTCAAACAAAGTTTGAATGTCTGACTGAGGAAGAGCATTCCATATCGTTTGTACGCGTACCCAAAGTTCGTCTGCAGACGCAACAGGACGAGGATCACGAGCAAGACGCCGACCAATGACATCCCACACATGTTCAATTGGCGACATATCCGGGGAACACGCAGGCCAAGGAAGAAGCTGTACCTGCTGCGCTGCAAAGAAGGATTTAACAATCCGAGCAGTATGAGGGCGGGCATTGTCCTATTGAAATACAGCGCCTGGCAAGCTTTGAAGGAAGGGAACAGCTTCGGGCTATAGAACTTCACGGATATACCGGTTGCTGTTCAGATTGCCCACAATTCGTAGCAATTGAGATCGTCTATGGTATGCTATGGCGCCCCAGACCATAACTCCGGGTGTTCGTCCACTGTGGCGTTCGATAATGCACTCCGGAAGGTGGCGTTCACCGGCATAGCGTCTGACACGAATGCGGCCATCATGGTACCACAAATTAAAGCGGGATTCGTCAGAAAACACGACATGCTGCCAATCAGCACGCCAGTCTCTATGCTGATTGGGCCATTGTAGCCGCAGGCGGCGATGGTCGTGCGTTAGGGGGATCCTGTATAAAGCAGTCCGTGCGCGCAGTCCACACTGCAGCAGACGTCTACGAATTGATGAAGCACACAATGAAACACCTGTAGCTATTGACCACAATGCTGCCAATTGTCTAGAGGAAGCTGTACGGTCCGTCCGCGCCATGCGGACCAGGTGTCTATCATCGCGAGCTGACGTCACATTTCGGGGTCCACTCCCGGATTTCCGAGTTGTCCGACACTCGTCCGTCCACTGCTTCCAAACGCGCATCACTGTGCTGCTGTTACGCTGCACACGAGAGGCTACTGCACGATACGACAATCCAGCTTCACGAAGGCCGATGATTCTCCCTCGTTCAAACTCTGTAAGTTGTTCAAATCTCGCTCTCTTTCGTCGACGAGGCATAAGTACAGATTGAGTTAACGTTTACCACTAGCAGATTAACCACCGATAACCATACACGCCTCGCTACAGCCGTCTATTTATTCGGATCCATCAGCCGTTCAGAGGGCGCTGCTCAGCATACGCATGCGCTACGGATTTGCAATTCTAATCATTTGCATATCATCATGCGCTACTTTGCATTTCCTGAAAAT